TCTCCCTCTCCCACTCCCCCTGCTTGTGTTCCCTCTCTCACTGTGTCTCTCTCTGTCAAATAAATAAATAAAAATCTTTAAAAAAAAAAACAACAAACTGAATGTACTCTCGGCCATGCAATTGGTGTGACTATCTCCAGCAAGTGTGTTCCTTGGTATTTACCTAAAGGAGCTGAATATTTATGATCCCACAGAAACCTGCACATGGATGTTTATAACAGCATTGTTCATAATTGCCAAAACTTGGATGCAACCAAGATGTCCGTCGTAGATGGATGAGTAAACAAACAGGCCCATCCAGACAATGGAATATTTTTCAGTGCTAAAGAGAGCCAAAATATCAAGCCATGAAAAGACATGGAGGAACCTTAAACGGACATTACTAAGTGAAAGCAGCCAATCTGAAAAGGCTGCATACTGTATGATTCCAACTGTTTGACATTCTGGAAAAGGCAAAACTGGAGACAGAAAAACGATGAATGATTGCTAAGGGCTGGGGAGGTGGGATGAACAGGAGGAGCACAGAGGATGTGTAGGCCAGTGAAACTACTCTGTGTGAGACCATAATGGTGGATAAGTGTCACTATGCATCTGTCCAAACCCATAGCATGCACATCACCATGAGTGACCCCTACACAAACTATGGACTCTGCTAATGACGTGTTGATGTAGGCTCATCAGTGGTGACAAATACACCCTCTGGTGGGGGGTGTTGATAGTGGGGAGACCGTGCATGAATGGGGGCAGGGGCGCACAGGAAATCTCTGTGCCTTCCTCTCAATTTTGCTGTGACCTTAAAACTGGTCTAAAAAAACCAAACCAAAACAAAAAAAACCCATGGGCTCTACCTTCCAAACACTGTAGGCCCATATTTGCCCACTTCACTCCACCTTCACGGCCAACATGTGGGCAAAAGCAACGACATTACACACGTGGATGATTGCAGTAGCTTCCAGACTCATCTCCTTGGATTCCATCCTTGCCCCCCATCCTCTGTTTTCAACAGAATGGCTGGCATTATTGGGTTAAAAGGTGGGTCAGACCGTGTCCCTCCTTTGTAGGACTCTCCAATAGTTTCCCATCTTAAAATAAAAGCAAAGGCCCCATGTTGTCTGTCCCTCGTCCCCGTCTGTGCCTCTCATCCGTGCTTATGCTGCCCCTATTCCTCTACCTGGAATGCTCTTCCCCTCATGGCTACATGGTCTTGTCCCCCACTGCCCGCTGATCTTTCCTGCAACGTCACCTCCTCAGGCCTTCCATGGTAACCCTACCTTAAAATTTAACACCCCTCCTGGATGCCCCTTCCCTTTTGATTTATTTGCCATACCACTTATCACTAATGTGATTTACAGTGAGAAATATGCATTTGATCTTCATCCCTTCCTGGCACAGACCTCCTAAAACCCTTGCAATATCCTAAGAGTAATAAAGGTGTCTGGATATTGCTAACAAAGCCCTTTCAACAAAACCTGGGTTTATATTAATGAGATGACCTCCAGGGAGGGGAGAGGGGCTGAAGGTTAGGTCACTCATGAATTGCTAATGATTTAATTAATTGTGGATGAATTAAATGTAATGAAGCCACCATATAAACCCAAAAGGATGGGATTTGAGAGATTCTGGGTGGATGAACATGTGGAGATGGGGGGAGAATGGCCCACTTGGAGAGGACATGGAAGCTCTGCCTTCTCCCCACGCCTGGCCCTATGCATCTCTCCCATCTGCTGTTCCTAGGTTACATTCTTCCATAATAGACCAGTGATCTGGTAAGTAAAATATTCCTCTGAGTTCTGTGAGCTGCTCTAGCCAATTAATGAACTGGGGGAGAGGTTTGTGAGAAACGTCAATCTGTAGATGATGCATATAGTTAGTTATTCATATATTTAAAAATTTAGACTATCAACTATAGTTGAGCCTCTACTAAGACGCAGATAAATCGGAAAGATGAGGCCCCTGCCCTCCTATAAATTTTTGTCTGGGAGCTCATCTATAAACAAGAAAACAAAAATGAACTGGGTAGCTTGAAAGACCTCACAGTACATGGTGGGAGTAACAAGGATGATGCTAGCAAACAGTGAGTGCATCCTTCGTGCGCCCTCAGTCCTCACTGTAACCCTGTGAGGTGAGCACCGCCAACAACCCCATTTCACAGATGAAGACGCTGAGGCAGAGAATGGTGGAGAAACTTGTCCAAGGGGTCTTGATGAGCAAGCGGCTGCAGGTTTCAACCCAGGCATCTGGCTAGAGTGGAGCTGCCTCTCTGAGGACGGGACACCGCCCGCTGAGAGCACAGGGCAGAAGGAGTGTAAAGCAGTGCTGAGGAGGGCGGCTGTGGGGCCAGGCGATCCCAGCTCCAACCTTGGCCTGACCTCCTTTGTCGAGAGACTGCATAGGCAAACGGACGATGGCCAGGCCATGTACGAAGATAGAATTCTGACCCACAGCCTGCAGCAACATGCCTGGAGGCCAGCCTGCTGCCTCTCGTAGCAGGACAGGAAGCCCCACAACACCCCTGTACCAGTTGGTCCAAAGGGCCGGGACTTGACTAAAAACTGACGCTTCCCTAATTTTGTCCCTAGCTCTAATTTAAGACCAACAAGAGAAGGCCAAGTATGCTCCCTAACTGATAGCATAGGACAAGGACTTCTAGTGAGCCTGTCCCCAGCTTCCCTGGGCACAGGCCTGGTCAAGGCTCGAGTGCAGCCTTCCATGTTTTCTACTGTAGGCTTTCCCCCTCCTCCGTCTGCCTTGGAGTTTCTGCCACAATAGCCTCGTCTGTTCTCTCTCTTTTTTTAAGATTTCTTTCTTTCTTGTTTTTTTTTAAAGATTTTATTTATTTATTTGACAGAGACACAGCGGGAGAGGGAACACGAGCAGGGGGAG